ACTATGTGTGTACTCGCATATACTTTCTTTTAGCTTAAGAACTTAATGTGATTCGGTTTAAAATTGGTACATTTCAATGACTACACAAGCGGCAAAATAACAGCGATAGTTTCAACTATCACAAAGCTGAGCCGCGGGCTTTTTATCTCCACTGTCAGTGTAATTAATATATTGTAATATTGCTTAGAATTAGAAATTTATGTCATATTAATTGAAAAGTTATTTGTATTGTGGAGTAAATAAATGTAATTATTATTATTATTATTTTGGAAATTACGAAATGTGAATCTCTTTATCCATGATAATCGAAAGTATTTCCAAAGATTCATCTAAATATTTAACCAAAAAGGTCCTGTATGTGAAAAAGGAAACATCATTGTTAATCATAGTAATTTTAAAACTACGAAATGTTGAAGAAATCGTACAAGGGATTTTCAAAAATAAATAACACAGGAAATCGCGTGAAACGAAGCATAAAATCGGAAATGGCGTACTTCCCCTCTCGCCCCATCTTCGCTAGCTCCTAAATCATATTCACTGTAAAACTTACGATGAAGCTTTTTAAAAGATTCAATAATGTGCTATTATGATATTTTATTAATGCACAAAAAACATCTATCGTATCTCGCTTTTGCAATTTTGATAAGAATAATTAAGATTTGGACAAACTGTGACATGAACCAGTGCTATTACTGAGATTAAATATAACAAAAAAATCTTTATTTAATTAACAGTTTTAAAGTAAAAATAATCACAATACAACGAATAAAATTTGGGAATAATCATTCAAGTGACGATGTTTTGAAATGAATCGGGAAAGATATTTAATCTCCGTCTTAACAAACTCGTATTTTAACTGCAAATCATTTATTCTAGCCAGTGTGTACATATGAGCGTAAACGCCACTATTGGCAATAATTATGATGATATATAGTTTAGTTTATTCTATATTATCTTATTTGTTTATTATTAGCAAGATGAAACTGTTATTTTACCATATTAAATACTAGCGACCCGCCCTCGCTTCGCTTCGGAAACATTAAAACACACATGAAACCAAAAAAAAAAAATAAAAAAAAATAAAAAAAAGTAGCCTATGTTCATCAGGGACAATGTCGGCTTCTAATGGAAAAAGAATTTTTCAAATCGGTCCAGTAGTTTCGGAGCCTATTCGAAACAAACAAACAAACAAATCTTTCCTCTTTATAATATTAGTATATATTATAGATTAATAGATAGATAGATTAAATAGACAGTGTCTTAATGTGAAAATTTTCAGAATATGTTTAACGTTTATATTATTGTTTAAAAATACAAATGACTGTCAAAATAATCAAATATTAAAAGCATAAATATTAATAATACATTATGTTATAATTAACATTAACTAGAGGTCCCGCAGTAGTCGAAATTCGACTATAATTAATTGGAATTGTAAGTTTGTACACTATTATGATTGTATTTTATACTTCTATAACCACAAATTTCGCCAAGACTACACTATAAAAAATATTAACAAAGACAAACAATATATTTTAATCTCAATTTGACAACAGACGTCAAGAACAAAAGTTTGACAATAAATAGTATGCATGCGTGTGTGCGTCAAATACATGGTATGTAGTGTGTGTAATGTTTTCTTTATTGATTTAATGTATCTTTTATGCATTATTTAAAAAAAATATTAGCTTTGTGCACTTCTTCTCGATATTCTCTATAAGTGTGGAAAATTTCAGTCTCCTCCGTCCGCGCAATTTTCGTAAAAAGGGATACAAAGTTTTTGCTTCACGTATTAATATATAGATAATTTGATTAAGTATTGTATTTTTTATGCAAATCATGTTGCCATATATTATTAGGCAGGATAATAATAATGTTAGTTTATAGTATTTAAATGTAATCTAAGCAAAATATATTAATGTTAAAGTCATGTAAAAATCACTAAAATATTTATTGTGAATATTAAGCTACATTTTATGAGTTGTTTCGTAGTAATTCCATTTGTTTGTGTAAAAGGAGTTATGCTATAACCAACACAAAGTGGCTAATTGTGTAAAAACTAAGACGTGGCTCTTCGTAATCGTTTGAAGTCGTCGTGGCCTAACGGATAAGACGTGCGGTGCATTCGTATTGAGCGATGTACCGGTGTTCGAATCCCAGGCGGGTACCAATATTTCTAATGAAATACGTACTCAACATATGTTCACGATTGACTTCCACGGTGAAGGAATAACATCGTGTAATAAAAATGAAACCCGCAAAATTTTAATTTGCGTAATTACTGGTGGTAGGACCTCTTGTGAGTCCGCGCGGGTGGGTACCACCACCCTGCCTATTTCTGCCGTCTGAATGCGTTTCGGTTTGAAGGGTGGGGCAGCCGTCGTTACTATACTTGAGACCTTAGAACTTGTATCTCAAGGTGGGTGGCGCATTTACGTNACTAGCGACCCGCCCTCGCTTCGCTTCGGAAACATTAAAACACACATGAAACCAAAAAAAAAAAATAAAAAAAAATAAAAAAAAGTAGCCTATGTTCATCAGGGACAATGTCGGCTTCTAATGGAAAAAGAATTTTTCAAATCGGTCCAGTAGTTTCGGAGCCTATTCGAAACAAACAAACAAACAAATCTTTCCTCTTTATAATATTGATATATATTATAGATTAATAGATAGATAGATTAAATAGACAGTGTCTTAATGTGAAAATTTTCAGAATATGTTTAACGTTTATATTATTGTTTAAAAATACAAATGACTGTCAAAATAATCAAATATTAAAAGCATAAATATTAATAATACATTATGTTATAATTAACATTAACTAGAGGTCCCGCAGTAGTCGAAATTCGACTATAATTAATTGGAATTGTAAGTTTGTACACTATTATGATTGTATTTTATACTTCTATAACCACAAATTTCGCCAAGACTACACTATAAAAAATATTAACAAAGACAAACAATATATTTTAATCTCAATTTGACAACAGACGTCAAGAACAAAAGTTTGACAATAAATAGTATGCATGCGTGTGTGCGTCAAATACATGGTACGTAGTGTGTGTAATGTTTTCTTTATTGATTTAATGTATCTTTTATGCATTATTTAAAAAAAATATTAGCTTTGTGCACTTCTTCTCGATATTCTCTATAAGTGTGGAAAATTTCAGTCTCCTCCGTCCGCGCAATTTTCGTAAAAAGGGATACAAAGTTTTTGCTTCACGTATTAATATATAGATAATTTGATTAAGTATTGTATTTTTTATGCAAATCATGTTGCCATATATTATTAGGCAGGATAATAATAATGTTAGTTTATAGTATTTAAATGTAATCTAAGCAAAATATATTAATGTTAAAGTCATGTAAAAATCACTAAAATATTTATTGTGAATATTAAGCTACATTTTATGAGTTGTTTCGTAGTAATTCCATTTGTTTGTGTAAAAGGAGTTATGCTATAACCAACACAAAGTGGCTAATTGTGTAAAAACTAAGACGTGGCTCTTCGTAATCGTTTGAAGTCGTCGTGGCCTAACGGATAAGACGTGCGGTGCATTCGTATTGAGCGATGTACCGGTGTTCGAATCCCAGGCGGGTACCAATATTTCTAATGAAATACGTACTCAACATATGTTCACGATTGACTTCCACGGTGAAGGAATAACATCGTGTAATAAAAATGAAACCCGCAAAATTTTAATTTGCGTAATTACTGGTGGTAGGACCTCTTGTGAGTCCGCGCGGGTGGGTACCACCACCCTGCCTATTTCTGCCGTCTGAATGCGTTTCGGTTTGAAGGGTGGGGCAGCCGTCGTTACTATACTTGAGACCTTAGAACTTGTATCTCAAGGTGGGTGGCGCATTTACGTTGTGGATGTCTATGGGCTCCAGTAACCACTTAACACCAGGTGGGCTGTGAGCTCGTCCACCCATCTAATCAATAAAACCTATATCATAAATACTTTACATTTAATAATATAATTTAATAAAATAAAGTTGGTGCTGCGTAATAATAAACGTTTTACGACTGATGCGATATTCAAATCAAATCTATTTAATAGCTGATCATAATATAATGTGTGTAATATTGTAAATTATATAATTATGATAGTTTTTACTATCATATTAAATGATGTTTCAAATAGTTTCTTTATTATATTATATTCTTCACTTTCAGATAAATATAAATAATTTGGATGACCGCAACAAGATGTGTCATACATAATTTACTGTAAATAATTTCAGCTTACGAAGCCTTCATTCCTAGACTCACTGTTTCCTGGAAAAGTTTTTCTCGAGCCCTCGCACAAGTATTTCCGTGAACAATCTCAATTTATCTCAGTTTCCCCATTCCCATTGTCGCAGCATGACTCATCTCTCTACAGTGCAATGACTCATAGACGTTTACAAGGAGCTATCTGACGGAGTAATGAGAAAATTGCTTGTTATTGCAAAAATTTGTAGGTTTCGTGTTACTCTGAATTACTTCATTGTCATAAAGTCTGTCGTAACAGCAGTGGCTCTGAGAATTTAAAAAAAAAATTGAGAGTTTAGTGCTTTTGATAAATAAGAGACATAGCTGATATTGGTGGTAAGACTCTTGTGAGTCCGCACGGGTAGGTACCACCAACCTGCCTATTTCTGCCGTGAAGCAGTAATGCGTTTCGGTTTGAAGGGTGGGGCAGCCGTTGTAACAATACTTGAGACCTTAGAACTTATATCTGAGTCGTCTATTATCAAAGGTGGCAATCTGTGCATTTGGACAAAAAAATGTTATTGATATGTCAATACAGATTGATTTGAATATAATCGTCTCCTTCAAAGAATACGGTTCAAAACCTGCATTAAATAAAGGTTAATACTTAACCTGTTATTTATCTAAGATGTCGTTCAGAAGAGTTTTGTGACTGCCAATGGAATACAAAGTCAATAATTCGTTTTTCTGATTTACCAATAATTGTCCAAAAGTCACATTGCCGGCTTTGATAATAGTCGACTCANTTATCTACTACTTGTTTTCTAAATTTTTCACCACATTCTGTGTTCCCAATCATATGCCATTTTATTCTCGGGACCGGTTTGGAATTGCTTGTTTGTTTGCGTATGTAATGCTTAGAGTCCAATACTAATAAACGGTGTTGAGGAGCTAAGGATTCACCCGGGATAATTTTGCAGTTTTTAACAGAAGTAATTTTATGTCGTCGGATCAAAAAATAATCCACCTGGGTGTTGCAGTTTCCACTTTTGTATGTTATAAGATGTTCCTTGCGTTTAGTGAAAAATGTGTTAGCTATTGCTAGATCAAACGCCAAAGCAGCTTCCAACAACATTTCACCTTCCTCATTTCTAGTACCAAACCCATATCCTCCATGCACTCTTTCATATCTATCATTCCTTTGTCCTACATGCCCATTGAAGTCTGCACCCACATATATCTCTTCTGAGTCAGGAATATCCATCATCAGCAAGTCAAACTCAACCCAAAACTTCTCTTTCATACTTCTATCACATCCAGATTGTGGGGCATATGCACTAACAACATTAATAATCAAATCATCTTTTATTAATTTCACTAGCATCAGCCTATCATTCACTCGTCTTACATCCGTCACATATTTTTTCAACTCACTATCTAGCACAATCCCAACTCCATTCTTTCTTCCATCACTCCCACTATATAAGAATTTATATCCTTCACCAATCTCTCTACCTCGTGTTCCTTTCCATTTCGTCTCTTGCAAACATGCCACATTTATCCTTCGTTTCTTACATACATCCGCTATTTCTCTTGTTCTTCCAGTCATCGTCCCTACATTCCAACTAGCATACCTCATTCTTACTTCACGAACTCGCGTCTTACGTCGCACCCGTTCCTGATGCGACAACCCTAACCCATTTCCCACAGGTGCCGGGTGCTGCAACCTAATAATATAATTTAATAAAATAAAGTTGATACTGCGTAATAATAAACGTTTTACGACTGATGCTACCTACAATAAACGCATTTTACAATTCGTTAAATTTTTTTAAGGTCACATAGAATCAATTAAGACGGACGGACACGCTATGAGTGATCTTAATAAGTAGTTTATTAATAAATACTATTTATTGTATATAGTACAGTAATAAATGCGTTCCGTTAAAAACTATTTACAAAATGAAACACAGAAAACCATCCATATAACAAAATAATTTAACAAAACAAAAGACGGAACAATTCCATCATGTTCAAGAATGGGTGGCATTATGGAAAGTCACGAAAGTAATAAACGATTGTAAATTTAATTACAAAATTAGAGAATCCAGCGAGGAAATACTTCAAGTCGAGTGGGTTTCAGCATCCGCTTTTTCCTTTAATTTATGACCGATCCGTTTGTGCTAATTAATTTCGTCTCTTATCTAATACGCTTAATTGGAGTTACGGAGTTTGTTCGGTAATTCATTTTAAATTATTACAGTTTTCAATTTCTTGTTTATTATACAACACATTTCCTAACGTAAGCAGTCATAATTTGTCTTTGGACTCAACATGAAACACTCTCTAATTCAAATTCAAAATCATTTATTTCAACTTAGGTGTCAGTATAACACACTTGTTGAATGTCAAAATATAAATAACAATGTTAACTCTACCACCAGTTCCAAAAAAAGCCACAGTCCTCAGAAGAACCGGCGAAATAAACTCAGCGTTTGTTCTCTGTTTCAAGTACCCATTTAGTGGATAAACACAAAGCTTCACAGTGCTTACTGCAACGTTTTTTATTGTTTTTGATGTGACAACGTCTTATAATTCGATAGAGCAGGCTGCACGCACGAAAAAACATGACTTATGCGGCGTTACCTCGCTCTGAGGCGTTCCGTTTAAGGCTTGAAGTGCAAGCGAGAGCGCGCAACGAGCGACAAAGAGGCACAATTGGCCTCCGCGTTCGGCAGCGTTCGACATCCGTCTCTCTCCTACTTGAGTGTGCGATGCATCCGCGTGGACAGCTGCTATACAATAATACATTTACATGTTTTCGTCAAGTATGAAGTTCAGTGAAAAGTGAATGTGGTGTCAATTGTTTATAGCAACGATAATTGCGATAATTGAAAAATGAAACCATTCCATCAGTATTTTCTTATGACGTTGTCACGTTCAACTATCGTCAGTAAACCGACTTTACAGNGTGTGCGATGCATCCGCGTGGACAGCTGCTATACAATAATACATTTACATGTTTTCGTCAAGTATGAAGTTCAGTGAAAAGTGAATGTGGTGTCAATTGTTTATAGCAACGATAATTGCGATAATTGAAAAATGAAACCATTCCATCAGTATTTTCTTATGACGTTGTCACGTTCAACTATCGTCAGTAAACCGACTTTACAGACAACTGTTTTTTTATTTATTAGATTTTGGCAGTATGGATTTTATGGCAAATAATTATTTATGGCAGATATTATTTTACAGAAGAGATATCCTCACTATATTGCATTCTATGATAGCAGACCTCTTTAAAATTCGCTGAGATGATCATCCCTGGAATGCTCTTGATGTCTATAGGCTACGTGTCAGAGATTTTATCTTTTGATGTAGACCCGCTCATTAAGATTTTTTGTTTGCTTCTGATATTTTTATATGTGTTATATTCACTATTTTTTATGTATTTTATACAAACTTATTTAGGTAATATTTTTAAATCGATGTATTTAATAATGTGTAATTTACCTTGCTTGTTGCATATTTGGTATTTATAAGTACTAAGGTAGTATGTGCTTATAGTAGTTTTCTTTTTTTTTTATTGCTTAGATGGGTGGACGAGCTCACAGCCCACCCGGTGTTAAGTGGTTACTGGAGCCCATAGACATCTAGAACGTAAAATGCGCCACCCACCTTGAGATATAAGTTCTAGGGTCTCAAGTATAGTTACAAAAAGTTTATTGAAAACCTCCCTTTATTGCCTGGGAGAAAGTAGTATTAATTAAAAAAAACTCCAAATACATTTGGAGTCCCTCAACAACACATTGAATAAGTCAGCATGAATAAGGAAGCACGTGGCTAACGAAGTCTTGTCTAAGATGTTACTTTATCATCAATAAGTATGTAATTTTGTAGTCGATGTATATGTTCAAATTTAATAGAATGAACTCAAAAAAAAACATTTAACAATATAAGCTTTCTGATAGTATAATCACGATTATAGGTAAAAATACACATATTTGTTCACACAATACATAAATAGATTGTAGTCGATCTAGACTATTCCCAAGACATGCCGGTGTGATTACAACGTCGACCCATATCAAATGGTAAAAGTGGGGATATTTTATAGTGACAGCCAGTATCCTTTTCTTTGAAAAAGATGAATTCGTGAAAGAACACAGCTGGTAAAAATATGAGTTCCGAATTAGGAATTCGTGACTTGTTTAACTTTATTTTGTATTTAGTTTATTTTGAGATTATAATAACGCTATTTTTTTTTTATATTTTTGGTGGTTCTAAATCTATGAAGGAGTTTAAAGACTTCAAATCGGAAGATCATGATTGCGCTCATAGGAAAGTGGATTATAATTTTCTTTACCAGTAAAATTTGAGATAGAAAATTATTATTTTGGTATTGTATTCTATCGTCGTATTTTGTATTTTATCTCAACATCATCACGTAAGGTAAAACTGGATTCACGTAATCATTTAGTTGCATCTTATTTTTGAGCACTGACTTCATAAACGGCTCATAGTGAAGTCATCATAATTACGACTATGCACTCTGATGTCTTTATTCTGTTGCATTAATAGCTTCCTTCTTATGTTTACTTTATTACAATGATTTGTTCAATGAACATCATCATCCGGCTTAGACAGTAAGGATTACCTACCTCCTCTAAAATATTTTTATTTTTAAGCGTGATTTATTCCCTACCTGTAGTTTATTTTTTTATTTTTTTTATTGCCTTTGTACCTGATGGTAAGTGGTCACCGTCGCTCATGGACGTCAGCAATGCTAGGGGCAAAGCCAAGCCGCTGTAGTCTTGAAGGGTTAGTCTGGTTTCACTTCGGTCATCGTCTTCGTTGAACGCGTCGCTTCCGACGAATGGCTCGACGAGTAAATTAACCCACAGACACAGCCCACTGAGATTCTCGCTGGATCTTCTCGGTGGGTCGCGTTTCCGATCCGGTGGTAGATTCTGCGAAGCGCTGCTCTTGCTAGGGTTAGTGTAAGCAACGTCGTCAAGTTTGAGCCCCATGAGCTCAACTGCTAGTTAAGGTTTAGCTGAAATGGTCTCTCAATACCTACCATCAGCTTAGGTAGGAAAAAATCTAGTTTCACCAAGATTGGCGGATGAGCTCAAAGGGCTCAGCCTGTAGGAATTTGTTAATATCATCCCTAACAAAGAGTTCTTTACTGAATTGAGCACCGGATCCAAACATCCTACTAAGAAAATAATTTTGTAAAAAACAAAGATAGCTTTGCTATTATCAATTAATGAGTGATAGTAAAACCTGTGCGATAGAACCTGCATACTTTACTAACGCAAATTAATCAACAAAACACTACACAGAACAAGTTAACAGTGGAATTAGCACAGCTAATACTACTATTAGCTCACTTTTCAAGCCACTTTAATGTTAACAATGCTCTGAACGTTGAGTTAAACCGCAGTTCCCTAGCGGTCGATCCTTGTGTAGCCTCAAAGAAAACCCGTTATTAGGACTGTTGTACACAGATTACAAAAGATTTTTTCATCTACATTCGAAGTAAGCATTTATGACATTTTGTTTTGTTTGCAATTCACAAAATCCTCCTTAAATACGAAAAGCCTAATATTACTTGCCAAGAAATTTAAAAAGGAGACTTTTATACCTCTAAAATATTTTATGCAAACTAAGAGCTGTCTGCTGGATTGCTGGCCGTAGTAAAATAAATTGTATTTGTTTGTTGCATTCTCAAATACTCGTGAGAGCGTGGCTTTAGTCAAAAGCCACACGGCACTTGTAAACAGTAGTTTCCAGTTCAAACTAGCAGCGGTTTCAGCATATTTAAAGAACTGAGTTCTCTGTAATTCAGTCTGCATTTAAATCATTGGTGTACAGTGTGGATAGGTGTTAAAAAAATCTCGGATATTTTATGTTTATTTTCGGGTGCATTTCTTGTTTTTTGTTTGTATTTGAGTTTTAATTCGTACTGTATTTCCAAGTTTGTAATATTAGTGATTTCAGTCTTGAATGGTTATAAAAAAGTAATATTTATGTCATTGCCAGTCACGGAATCCGATTTGAAAACTTAATTAAGCTTAAAGCAATCATCTTGAAAACACCATTTTCATTTCAAATATTCATTTAAAAACTTAATAAATTACTTAAATTTAAATTTCCAAAGTCTATGCTCTTTGCTCTAACTCTAAGCTCTTAGTATAAATGTCCAGCCATATCGGATGGTAAGCGCTAACCATTGAAGGATCTACTTGAACCTTAAATATTTTATATAATATGTAGATATGTGTTATTCGGAAAAAAAAACATCTTTTCTGTGTTTAAAGATACCTTAATTGTAATAATACGTTGTACTACTTATCACAGAGCACATTGCCTGCTAAAATTGTACGCCTATTTAAGAGTTTGTTAGTTAACAAATTAAAGATTAAAATTGTCAATTCCATCGAGGTCTTTCTAACTTTTCTCACAAGTCAAACAAGGCTAATCTATTTCCTTTAATTTAAACGGATTACGGGCCTTCAATTTGCAACTTGAATAATCGGATATCTTACTCTTCTAATTGATTTTGCCAATGAGTTCCTTGGAACCTGCAAAAAAATGTCTCAATCTTTTTGTTACGCCGGTAAGAGTAAGTCCATTTATCGCCAAATAGTTGAACGAATATCGAAGAATCTAGTAGCACCTAGAACGCTCGTGAAGTACAACGCCATCTATTATCAG